TGATTCCCCTGGGTTTTCCACACACTTCTGTTGAACTTTGAGCCATACTTTACTCCCTGGGTTCTTTTCTCTTTTTAAGTTGTGCATGACGTAGAAAAACCTTTTTGTTTGAGAACCGATGGGTCATTTGGGCTGATCCGTTCTTATTAAAGAGTGAAACGTGTAAATAGCTGGAATGCAGTTTTTCAGGAGATTCTTTAAGGTTAAGAGAAGGGGGAGGGAAGGAAGCGATTCTCTTGTGTCCCAAAGTCCATGTCAGAGAGAGTAAATATTTCCTCTGGTGTGAAAACTATTTTTATAGCTGGTTGAAAGTGCAGGTAACAAGTTTATCAGGAAAAGAGAGTTAAGGAATACTACAGTGAGCAGATTCTTGTCTGACCTTTTCATGTCCAAACCCGTTGATTGCAGTTAGTTGCTTTGAGCATTGACGAGGGCCACCTTTTGCCTATGAAGTTGTCTGAAAACTCTTGCGTTGATTAAAAAAAAGAAAAAAGAAAAGAAAAAAAAGAAAAAAAAGGAAAAAAAGGAAAAAAAAAGGAAAAAAACCCTCCCTCTTTAATCCAAGTAGCATTAGGTATTGCTGTATGATCAGTCGTATGGTTATTTGAGAGGTTCACCTTATGTGGCATCCAAATCGTTTTTAGTGTTTTTACAGCATCCCTCTGCCACTAAATAGTTGACTTGAATTTTGGAAACAACTGTTTGTGTTTATATGTATATGTGTGTGTATATATGTATTTATAGATCCGTGTGTGTGAGTTCAAAGTGAGTTAAATAGTTTTTCCCATGCATGTGTATTTCATACATATCTGGCTGATATATATATTTCACCATACACCAATTTTATAATTTATTAAATGTCAGTTAAAAAAAAATAAATAAAAGGATAGAAAATGGGAAATACTTATTTTTTAAACTCAGTCTGATTTTGAAGTGATTAAACCTACACTAGGAATATATCTCATACATTTTAGTCATGAATACTAACCTGGTAACTTCAGAGCATATGCTTTGCTGTAATACCCTTTGTAAACCTGGAGTACAAGTGCTGTCGGTGTAACGCGGAGCGTGTGTGGCCCCGGTTCTGAACCACCCAGGAGACATTGGGAGAGCTGGTGGCTGTTGTGCTGACGATGGTGGCGACGTTCCATTGACTGTGTTGTTAAAGATGACCTGAGGAGCAGCTTGTGTCACTCTTGACAGTGGTAGTAAAGTCTTGTTAACCCACATCTAAAATGAACCGTGGCGAGTGTGTGGTGACACAGGATCCGGCATCTTTATGCCTGGCTTAGCTTTCGGAAAGCAAGGTCAGATGGTGACGACTTCCATTTCCTCGTGAGTTACCCTGAAGGGAAGGAAGGCTGTTCAGTTCACCGGTGATATTTTTGAACCTCATGGCTCTACAAAGAAGGGACAGACATGTTCTGAAGTCCTCCTTTGTGGTATTAATCCCATATGCTTTGTGAGTATTCCTGTTTCATGCTAGGGTGTTCTTTATTGCTGATAATTCTCTGTGCCTCTGACCACAGTTAACATTGCTTGGTAGAAGTCTCAGTCTGAGTTCTCGACAAGTTCCACGCGAATGTCACTCCCAAACTCGATCTCCATTAGTTCATGTATTAACAAAGATGCTGTAGAGCAGTCCAGAGCTCCTTTCGCTGCCCGTGGCAGAATTTCTGTGATCCGTAGCCTGGAGGTCTCTTGTCCTTCAGTTCTTCCACCAGAGAGGTGGGGTGTGCACACACTGGTGCCTGTTTTATGTCAGGTATGAGCACACAGCTGTTTAATAGCAGGGTGGAAGTGGCTTTGAAAGCTCCGAGGGCATTACTGGTGCATCCTTAGATGCTCTAACCTAGGCCATGCGTTAAGATCTTGGTAGCACTTCCATAACAATAGATGTGACAGCGACTGCAGGCTCGCCCTTTCCTCCCCGTGGCAAGGACTCAACGCCTTTCAAGGGTGGGATGACTGGTAGGTTGTCATTGGACTCTGTTGGACCCTCACTGAGGCTGTGAGGAGAACGCTTGACAAAAGAATTCTTCACTGCAGTTTAACCTTTCAGGGGTTTAAGCACATTTTGAATAGACAAGGGTTTGTTTTGTCCGTGTAACCAGTTTTCTTTCCTCCTTTTCAACAGAGCTTAGATTTCTAACAAGGGAAAATTGCTGGTGGTCCCCGAAAGTGCTGCTGTTAATTGTTCTAATTAACAAAGGGAAAATGTATATAAGCAGAATATTAAAATTACCATTAATTCCATGAATTGAAAGCTGTCATTCATTGCCTTAAAACTTTCTCTTAGTTTCCATACGGCATGCCAAACCAGTAAACGGCTTTTAAAAATGTATAGTAGACCAATGTCAGTTTGTATAAAAGTACCAAGTGAAAATATTTATTATATGCATTGGAAAAAAAAAATGGTTTACCTATTGAATGTTACCTGTTTATGTAGAAATCTTTAGATGTAATAAAAAGCATTCAGTTACGTTGTGTTTCCTGGGGGGAAATTAAAACGGGGGGGGAGAGGAGGGTGTTTTCTGCAAACTGATGCGTTGCAAAGGTCCCTTTTGGCCAGGGATGCTTTGCCTCCGCTTGGTTTGTGCCATGGAATGTCTGTATTGTCTCTCCAGGCTTTTATGGCTTGGTTTTGGAGTGCGTGTGAAGGGGGGTTTCTGTTTGCTTGTATTTGGGTAGGGTGACCCCCTGTTAGGATCCCAGACCCACTGTGGAGCAATCCGAAGTGATTTTGAGCTCATCCATCCCCATGACATACAAGCTCTCATACTGTCTACAGCTGAAAGGATTTGTTCATCAGCTGTTCTGGTCAATAGGGAAGTATTAAGCTGTGTATTGGATCATTTGTAATGTGGTTATTGATGCATATTGGAAACAAATGCTTCTACATGCCCTCCATGTTTCATAAGGTGATTATGCTCACAGCAGCCAAGGTTTGTGCTCGCTTCCATCACCGATGCCTCCACAGCAGAGGGTTGGAAGGGCTCTGGTGGGCAGGCAGAGCTCCTAAAGGCACTGGAGCAGAAAGGCTCCATGGTGAGGTAGGTGAGGTTTGTATCCAAACACTGGGATTAACAGTGACAGGTGGGAAGAGAGGTACATAGGAAGTCTGATTCTTCGCTGTTGGTAGGAGCTGGTTTCATGAGTGAATCTTTGCTCTATTTCACTGTATGCTGTTATTCTGGAGTGTTTGAGTGCTGAGCTGCTTGTAACACTAAATGTGAGAAACGGTTCATTTTCTATCCATAGAGTAAGAAGATGCTGATGCATTAGACGGACATGACAAGGGCTGTCAGTTCTACACTGAGCAAAGTTCATTTCCCCTCCAAGCACAATCCTTTACTCTTCAGAGGGTTTTTCATGTTGGCATATCAGGGTCTGAGTCTGAGCTTACTGGGTTAGCTCAGGACTGCTGCCTTGAGAACTGCAGGCTCTCCAGCTTGGCTCTGAATCAAGGGAGATTGGGCACAAAACTGCCCTTTGTCTTAAATACGGGACTGAGAGGGACATCCTGGATCCGCTTCCATTCCTTGCACAGCATTCAGCATCTCATTTGGTCTTTTGTGCCTTTCCCCCCCCTGTGTAATACTCCATGAGAATAACTGTTAGCCTTACAGAGACACTGATTTGGAAGAGCTAGGATTTCATGTCAGAGAATGGTTTGGGATGGAAGGGACCTTAAAGCTCACCCAGTTCCAACCCCCTGCCAAGGGCAGGGACCCCTTCCACTGGAGCAGCTTGCTCCAAGCTCCTGTGTCCAGCCTGGCTCATAATTCAGTTTTGGTTTTATTTTTCCAGTTTCTAACCATATTTGTGGTAGTACCAGTCCTGTTTGGTTCTGTGTGCCAGCCCTGCGTGATGATGCTTTCCGTGGTCTTCAGGCAATGCAGCGTGTCTCAGTAGGGGATAAATGTATTGTGTGTGCTATGGCTGTGAGGATTTAACTGCTGATCAGTTCACAGGTAGAGCAAAGGATGAGTTGGTTGCTTCAGTGGCCAAGATTTGGCATTGGAGCAAGGAAGGAGGGAAGGCCGAGGGGAGGGAAGGGCCTCCCATGGGGAGAAGCCACTGCAGACCCATAGGAACATGGCCTTTCCCTGCATGTGGCTGCTTCTGCGTGATGGTCTGTGTGGATTTCTGACCGCCTCCAGAGAGGATCTGCTGTATGTGGTCCTAAATCTCATATGAGGGTCTGTGGATCCTAACTAAGGCTGCCCAGATCCAGGTGGAGTGAGACCAGTCATAACCGGTCTGGGTCAGAGTGGTTTTCATCACTCCAACGCCAGGAGAGATGGGTGAGGTTCCCTGCTGCAGAGAAGCTGAATTGCCTGGCCCTGTTCTTCCCTGCCAGGCTGTCCCTGGTGGGTAGCCTAGAACCTGGGGCAGATACGTTGACCAAGCACAGCATTTCCAGTGGGTTGCCTCAAAACCAGCTTCACCGCGCAGAGATTTGGTGCTGAAGACCCTGTGCCTTTACAAGTAATGGGACAGAGGCACAACAGGACAGAGGTGCTGTGTGCTGGAGGAGTGGGAGAGGAAGAACGAGGTGCTGATTGTAGGGCATTGCTGTGATTGGAGAATGGGACGTTATTCTCTGCTGAGCATCACTGATGGGGGGGAGCAGAGAGCTGGTGCTGCGTGTCTGTGATGCTCTGGATAGTGGGCAGGGATGCGGCTGGTGACTTGATGGCATCATGCACTGGATCCAAGGAGCTGTGCATAGTTGTACTGGGTTTACCACTGTCATTGCACAGTTGAGCTTCCAGGGGAATCCCTCCACAAAAGACAGAGCTTGGGTGTGTGGAAGCAGGAAATGGTTGTGGTGATGCTGACTTCTTGGGATGCTGTCACTGTGAGACCTTAACTACAACTTCCCATTCACGCCACAATCTGCACTTAAATGCATTCTAAAAGTCATTTTTGATATTATTAGTTTCCATTTGTTCTATTTTAGCTACTATTTGAGCAGGACACACGTTACACAAGGGATGTGAGATGCAGTTTATTCAAATAACAGCTCAGGTTTGGTGACAGCATTCCTTCAGGCATGGGGTGGGATCCTGTGTGAGTGTAAGCACGGTTGTGAAGGCATAATGAGGGATTTTAAAGGCAAATGATGATTCCTGAGTCCAAGTAATAAGTAGGAAAACTTGAAGTCAAGAAAGCCTCAGGTTCTGCTCTTACCAAATCTCTTGGTCGCGGTTTCAGTAATCGACTGTTGGAAGACCAATCTTGTGGACAAATTCTTCATACCGGATGGTTCCGTTGGGTCCAACCTTGGCTTCTTTGAGCAGGTCATCAACTGAAAGAGGGGACAAAAGCCACAGGTCAGAGAGGCAGAGGGTACAGAGATTGTGTTCTTCACAAGAGCGGCATTGCAGGATTTGGGTTTCAAACCGGTTTTGTTAGTTCTGGGATCAGTTCTGGTACCATCCCCATGGGGTTTGAGCTATCTCCAGTTCACACTTGGATGTAGATCTCTAACTTTCTGGAGCAGAGGTGCCTATCTCCTTGATATCCACATGGAAAACATTCACAGATTTAGTCTAAACCAGCTTTTAATTGCTTCTGGTGGCTTATTTGGGCTGAATAGCAAACCTGCTCCTATTCAATTTAGCCCAGGCTTAGTGCTCATAGAGGTGGTGTGCCCAACTTGTTAATGTTGGTGGGCCTTTAATGTTCGGAAAGGAAGAGTATCTCAGCTGGAGCTCTAAGGCTCCCTCTGAAAATACATCTGAAGAAGTGGGAACTGTGCAGTTGGCACCTGGGAGCAGTGGGATGCTTTTCATGCCGCCTTCGGGAACTCCTTGGCAGTGACAGCAGCTGCCTGACTTACAGTGTTCTCTTATGCAGACTAAGCCATTAGAATCATAGAACCCCAGACTGGTTTGGGTTGGAAGGGATCTTAAAGCTCCTCCAGCTCCAACCTGGCCTTGAGCACCTGAACACTAAATACAGCATCTCTGTGTGATAAATCATCATCCCAGGGAGCAACTCCAGCAAGGGAAGAGGGCTCTGGGTGAACAGGCATCTGGGTTGCAACACACAGCATCTCTGCTTGCCCATTGTGGTGTGGCTAAAGGCTGATGACAGCAAAGAGACTTTGTCCTCACATGCATCTAATTAGAGTTGATGGTGCTAATGGTTCTCTTTGGCTTGGGGAGTGCTCCCTGCTCTGTGTGTGTCTGGGCTCCCCTGGGGGCTCTGGTTTTATGTGGGGAAAGCCTTTTCAATGAAGGCACAAGCTCACTGTGTGGCTGTGACACTGGTGCTGGTGGGGTGGACACAGCAGCAAGATGCTATGAGCCTGTGCCCTGGGCATTGTGTGTGCATCCCTTCCCTGGGGTGTGCGACTTCCTCCTGGTCCTTTCCCAAAGGGAATTCAGGGAGGAAATCAGCTGAGGGGCATTTGATGCATCTTTGAACTGCCAAATACCTTCTTCCTCGGAGAGCTTCTCGCCCAGGCGGGTGAGCTTGGCTTTCAGCTCTGAGACGGTGATGATGCCTCTCTTCTGCCTGTCTATCATGGACAGGGCAGTGAGGATTTCCCTCTCGGGCTCCTCTTGCTTCATTTGCCTGTACATGATGTTGAGGAAAGTGGAGAAATCCAACTCTGCGTTTTTGTCTGGAAAAATAAGAGGAGATCCCTTAGGAATGGCTCAGTTTTGTAGTGTGCATCCTGCCCTCAGCATCCCCTTCCTCTTTCCCCTGTCCTGGGCACCTTTTGCCTGGCTCTGGTCTGGACCAGGATGGCCCATACCTGGGGGTTCTCCTGCCCTAAAACCCATTTATAGCACTTGTGTATCCAGGTTTGCTGTGTATAAGGTCTATGCCAGGCCTAGCATCCAGCCTTCTTAATCCGGCCCATTTTATCTCGTGATTCTTTGCTCTTTGTCCTGTGCTTTGAATTCATCTGTGTACCTGCACATGAATACCTGTCAGTGCTCTTCTTGGACCGGACGGGTTCCCAGCCTCAAAATCCAGTCAATACAAGTGCCTTGAAGCCTTCCCGATGGCACTGCTTTAACCCATGCACTGATCTGGCTTTGTTCCCATCCCATCGGACCATAGGCTTTGGTGACTGCCCTTGGTTTGCATTGCCTGTTTCACCTGGGGGGGCTCCAGGCAGCCTCCAGACCCCAGGGAAGCTGCATTTCCCCATCTGTTTCATCCGTGTGTTACCCGTGTGTTATCTCCATGTGTTACCCATGGGTTATCTCCATGTGTTACCCATCTGTGATCTCCATGTGCTACCCGTGTTTGATCCCCATGTGTTACCCATGTGTTACCTGTGTTTTATCTCCATGTGTTATTTCCATGTGTTACCCATGTGTTATCTCCATGTGTTACCCATGTTTGATCCCCATGTGTTACCCATGTGTTATCTCCATGTGTTAACCCATGTTTGAACCCCATGTGTTACCCGTGTTTGATCCCCATGTGTTACCCATGTGTTATCTCCATGTTACCCATGTGTTATCTCCATGTGTTACCTGTGTTTGATCCCCATGTGTTACCCATGTTTGATCCCCATGTGTTATCTCCATGTGTTACCCATGTTTGATCCCCATATGTTACCGGTGTTTGATCCCCATGTGTTACCCGTGTTTGATCCCCATGTGTTACCCATGTGTGATCCCCATGTGTTACCCATGTTTGATCCCCATGTGTTACCCGTGTGTTATCTCCATGTGTTACCCATATGTTATCCCCATGTCTTACCCATGGGTTATCTCCATGTGTTACCCGTGTTTGATCTCCATGTGTTACCCATGGGCTGCACTCACCGATCCTATGCAAGTGGAGGTGTCTCTGCGCCTCCCCCGGCGTGGGGCTGGCTCCCAGGCACCGCATCACTGCCAGCAGGTCCGAGGCCTTGATCTTCCCCTTTTGTTTCTTGTCGTAGAGGGAAAAACATTCCTTGAACTCTAATTAAAACCCAAAGCCGTTATTCCCTGCGGGGGGATGCGGAGCCGCCGCTGACGCCTCCTTCCCCACGGCCCGGTCGGGTTCCAGCAGGGATACTGTGTCTGCTGGGGGTGTCTCGTTTCAGGATGATGGATGGGGGGGCCGGGACACACACAGCCCTGGTAAGTGCCAAGGGCAGTGAGAATCCATGCTTGGGGATAGCGGAGCTAAAGGGGGGCACTGAGCCTAACGGAGCAAGTGAGAGAGTGGAGTCAGGCTGCTGCACATGGAGAACGGTGTTTGAGAGTACTTGGCCTTTGTGGGGTCGGAGAGGATGCTGAGGGAGGGAGGCGGAAGGGAGGAATCCCAGAATGGTTTGGGTTGGAAGGGACCTTAAAGCCCATCCAGCTCCAACCCCTGCCACGGGCAGGGACCCCTTCCACTAGAGCAGCTTGCTCCAAGCCCCTGTGTCCAACCTGGCCTTGAGCACTGCCAGGGCTGGAGCAGCCACAGCTTCTCTGGGCACCCTGTGCCAGCGCCTCAGCACCCTCACAGGGAAGAGCTTCTGCCTAAGAGCTCAGCTCAGTCTCCCCTCGGGCAGGTTCAAGCCATTCCCCTTGGCCTGTCCCTACAGGCCCTTGTCCCAAGCCCCTCTCCAGGTTCCTGCAGCCCCTTTAGGCACTGGAGTTGCTCTCAGGTCCCCCCTTCAGGAGCCTCCTCTTCTCCAGGCTCTCTACACCCTATTGCAGTGTACTGAGTGCCCTGTGTGTGCTGTGCCCCCCCCCCGCCCGCCTCCTCCCAAGGCCGCTGCAGACGATCAGGTTTACATTAATACTCTTCTTATGGCCTAAGCCATTCCCTGTCCAACCCTTCCCATCGCAGCCTGGGGGAGAGCCCCGGTGCCTCCCAGTGACTTCCTGCAGGCCCCTTCTTCCTCTTCCACCTTTGCTCCCATCCTATAGGAAACCCCAGCACCGCAAGTGCTGGTCCCTGCTGCGGCTTGGCCAGGGCTGGGGGGGGTCATGGGGTTGGGAGGTTGCTGGTCCCGCTGCAATGCAGTGGGTGGGAATGGGGGGGTCAGGTCCCAGCACTGTGCTGGAATTGGGGAGATTTCTCTGGTTTCAGGGCAGAGAGATCCCCTGGAGAGCTGGGAGGAGGCGACAGGGGAGAAATGCCATTTATAGGTACCTAAACTTAACGAATCTCACCTATCCATCCGTATATAGATCTATATGCACAGGTTTAAGCTGACCTTGCTAATAGGAAGAAACAACCAAACCCAGACCAAGCCCATACGTACCATTGATCTGATCCTGGGACAGAAATTTTGCCTGGAGCGTGGAAAGGGGAAGGAGAAGGAAAGAGAACAGGAAAAGCTTTAAAATGCAGATGGGAATCAGTGCAGAGGGGTTTGTATCAGCCCAAACGCTTCACTCACCATTATTTAGGGGCTCTTCCTCGTGTCCAGCGCTGCTGCTGAGGCTTGGAGGAGCCGGCTCCTGCTTTCCTCCTTGATTAAGGGCTAAAGTCCGGGGTGGAGAGAGGCTGTAATAAATACCCCGCTGCCATGGCTACGAGACCTGATCCCTGCCAGGCTGGATCCCGCGGCTCCCGCTCACGCGCCATGGGGATAACGGCGCTCCCAGAGCCTCCGATGGGACCGAAGAGCGGGGTGAGAGCTTCCCTGGGTCGGGGTTTATGGGTGCTGGGGCCGGGATGGGTGGAGATGGGCTCATGCAGCACAAAGGGTTCAATGATCCCCAATAGCTGCACACCTTGTGCTAAGCTTTGCTGCTGGGGCACAAACCCACCCCACTGGTGGCTGCTGGGGACGGGGCAGGGGCATTTATAGCCCCACAGGTTGCTGGTGCATGGGTTTGGGGGTGGCAGCAGCAGCAGGAGGTGCTTGGGGCTCGGTGCAGGGTGTTGGGCACTGCTGGCCATGGCACCGTGCCCTGAGCTGGGGCACCAGGCAGCAGGGAGGGGAAGGGTTTGTAAGGGATTTAAAGCTCCCCATTGTCTGCACTGTTGCTCATTGGCATCTCTTCAGCTGAGCTGCCTGGATAGGACATCTCCAGCGCTGCCAGGTCTTGCTGCACACGGAGAGGGGATGCTGCTGCTGGGGAGCTGCAGTGAGATGGAGACTTCTGAGGTTTAACCTGGCTGCTTTTGGACCAGCCCGGACCAACAGCCCTGCTCCCGTCTTCTGGTCCCTCCCAGCACTGCACTGCTGCTGCCACCCCGCTGGTGTTCACGCCATTGGAAAGCAAGGGCTATGGATGAATCTGATTTTGTCCCATCCTGACCCTACCAGGGGGGCTGAGCCAGCGGTGCGGGTGCATGGGGTGTGGTGCTGAGCCCCTCTGCATCTGCTGGTGCTGGAACCATCCCAAAAGGAAACCCCGCAGCAGGGTCAGCACATGTGAGAGGGGACGAGGTACCCGATGCCAGGTTGTGGTGGAGATCCAGACCCAAGAACAGAGGATTGAGTGGCCACAGTGACCACTGCAGCATGGACCAGCCCTTCCCAGGGTGGACCCTGCTCTGTTACAGTGACGTGTTCATGGTCCTTAAACCTCAAGAGCCTCCTTTCAAAGGGCAGAGCTGCTTCAGGGAGCAGCCAGAGTCACTCAGCTTTTACCAAGTGCTTTTCTTTGCTGTGCTTTGCTAATGGCTTTTCAATTCTACCACTTGAATTCAGCCACACCGGGCTCCAACACAAACCCCATAGACATAAACCCATCACAGGGATGCAGCTGGAGGTGCAGGGGCTCAGCTCCATCACCTCAGCCTGGAAAAGTGACAAGTGGGAACAGACCCCACCGGGTGCTGGACCTCACCCCCTGCCCCATGGATGCTCTTTTGGGCTGCATTCATGGGGAATTGGTCCTTCTGCCACCAGCACTTGTGTCTGCACTCAGCAATGAGGGCTTAACCCTAGCACTGATGGCCAGGACCCCAGGAGCCGCCACATGGAGCCAAGGTAGGGCAGCTCAGCCCCTTCCCAGCGTGCTTCATTCATCTGGGGGCAGTGTGGGAGCAGCGGATGCATCTCTCAATGCCAAGACATGGGGAGGATGGGAGCTCTCCCTGCAATCCCTGACTCCTGTTAAAGGCTGGGATGCTCCTGGGGTGGCAATGGCGGTACCTGGACCACTGCAGGGTTGGGATGCTGCATCCCTGCCATAACCCCTTTAAACACCCCGGCTTTAAGTCACAAGGACCATCCCCTCGCCTCTGCCTGACTCACGCCTCGTGCAGCTCGTGTTGGTCAGGAGTTTATTTGAAACACATCTACTTAGAAAAACTAAATTCTTTTTCTTTTTTTTTTAATCCAAATCCCTCTAAAATATCAAAACTTAAAAACTTTCCTTTGCTGGCTGCAGGCTGCTCATGTGCAGGGTGTAAAATGCCCACGGCTCGGGGATGTAGATCACACCGGGGTACTTCTTCCTGAGGGTTTTGTCGTTCCACAGCCAAACCACCCAAAGGGCAATGAGGACCAGCGTGATGATGAAGGAGTAGAAGAGGAAAAGCCCATTGCTGTCCAGCACGAGTCCTTTGCGCTTCTGGTGCATCACCAAAGCCATCATGGCAAAGAAAGTGAAAATGTAGAGGATGAAAATCTGGCCCTCGGTCACGAGGTACCTGCAAAGCAAAGGCACCCATCCCATTAGTGCTCCCATGGAGAACACGGCGCTTCCAGCCTGGCCTGGAGCGAGCATCTCCCCTTCTGCTCTACATCCCATAAAGCTCTGCTGCCTTTGGCCAGCTTTTAACTGTGATTTGGCTTCACTTGATCAGGGATTTAACAACCGTATGGGTTCCATGAAGAGAAATGGGATTTTGGGCCCTGTTTCTGGGATGCTCAGAAGCAGACTCCAACCCAGACTCTGGTTCTGTCCCATGGATGTTGTGCTTATTTAGCCCCGAAATCCCTGTGTATCTGGGAGCAGCCTGCCCTGAGCGAGTGTTAGGAGGGAGAGGAGGACTCACGCTCTGTGCTGATGGAGTTAAAGGCAGTGCACTGGGGGAACTGGGCACTGACCAATGCATGCTGCTGATTTTGACTATCAGAACTTAATTTCCTGTATAAAAGCAGCCCCGGCAGGGGGCAAAGCCTCGGGTGAGAGCGAGCCTCATCTCTGGAGATGAATGGGAAGCACTTTGGTGCCATCAGGGAAGCCGTGTGGGAAGAGGAGGCTAATGAGAATGGGAAATAAATAAGACCTCTCTCAAAAGGCTATTGAGGACCTGCAGGGCGAGAGGAGGAGGCAGCGCCTGAGCAGCACCCGCATGGCCTGGGCTCTGTGCGTGACGTCTGGATGCTGGTGAGAGCATCCCCATTGCCACCAGTGAGCTGAGACCACTTGGATGCGCTGCAGGCACCGGGTGAGCACCCCAAAATCATCAGGGGAGCAAAGGGCAGCCTTTGAAGGGGGAGAGACAGCAAATACCATGGAGCTCCAGCAGTCACAATGTGACCAGCTGCGGTTGAAGAAGGGATGGGAGTGCTGATGGGTGACCCTGAACTCATCCCAGCTTGTAAAGGCTTCAAGTGGCTGCAAATATCAATGGGATTTGATGTGATTTGATTTAATTTGATTTTCCAGCCCTGCAGAGCAGAAACTGCAGCAAGTTCAGCCCTGGGGAAGGTACAAGCCCTCCCTGCACACTGCGGGGCTGCCTCTGGGATTTCTGGGCCACTCCATCTTCATCCCTGACCCGTCCAGAGCAGGCAGAAGCCACTTACCAGTAATAAAGGCTGCTGGGCCCCATCAGAAGCAAGGCAGCCACTGGCATCCTGCTCTCCTCCTCAACAGGGGTGAAGCAGCCGGTGAAGTATATGAAGAGGATCAGGAAAAAAGGGATATACCTGCACGCACAAACAGCTCTGATCAGTGGTGGGAGCCTGGGGAGCGTTTCAAACCCCCCCCCCCCAGTCTGAACCATGCACATGAGCCAGGAACACAGGATGGGGACCAGGCCTTCAGTAACCTCCGAGCCCTTTCTAATATAAAAGAACAGGATTTAGCTGCTTTGCAGCGTTCCAGGAACAGCGAATAAACTGGGAAAGCCTCATGGGGAGGGATTTCCCCCTGCTCTGAGCAGCCTCAGGATTATCTGGCAGGGGATAAAGGAACAGACCCTTCTGGGGTGCTTGGTGCAGGCAGAGCAGCAGGGCATGGACACCTCTGGCACTGCCTGTGCTCCTGCCCCTGGGTACGTGTGAGGCTGGATGAAGCCCGTTGTCCATCTGGACCAAGCATTTCTGGGATCAGCGTGGGGCAACAGCGCTGAAATCAGATCCTAACTGAGCTTCCTGGATCCCCATGGCCAAGGGGTCTCTGTCACTGAGAGCAATCCTGCCCTCTCGCTGGAGGATGCACAGCGAAGGAGGGGAGTGAATAAAGGGCTCGAGCCTCATCTTGTGGGAGATGACAGCCAACGGTTTGACAATCGATCCCTATGGCTGTCAAACAACTGCCACATCCCAGAGACATCACTGAGACAGAGACAAAACCAGGGGAAATGGGGTGATTTTCCAAGGGAGAGATCCACTGCGATCACCCTGGCTCCGATTACACCACCCCCAGCCAGCAATGAGCAGCTGGGCTTTGTGTTTTCCCCCTGTTAAGCTCTGATCAGCTCAACTCTGCCCTTCCTCCCGTTGCATTCGGAAGCTGCTGCACAGACGGAGTCACTTACCACATCGAATGACCTAAATATTCATCGTAGTAGTACAGCAGCTCAAAGGAATCAATCTGCAACACAACAAAGAGCTTTAGAAGGGCAGAGGGAACGGGAGGCTCTTATATAACACCAAGCAATCAATGTGGTTTTGGCTAAGTGCTTGTAGAAAGCAGCCTCTTTACCAGCGTCTCTGGCTTCAGGTTCTTGATGATGGGGTTCTCTCTTACAGACAGATGGTGCTGGTACCCACTGAAAATCAGGCGATGGTTGACGGAGTCTCCGACCAAGTGGATGCTGGCGCCCATGACAAACATGATGATGCTGACGTAGATCATGGATCTTGGTAAGGTCTTGGGGGATCTCTCGATGAGCTAAAAGCACAGAGGGGTGTTAAAGAGCGCGGTAGGACCCTCAGAGACACGGGACAGGTTCTGCCCACCCTGAATTCATGGTGCTTGGCACAAATCACCCCCAAAACACAAGGGGAGGGCTGCAGGTTGTGCTGCTGGAGTTGTGAGCTGTGGTGGGCAGCACCCTGCAGGGACAACGCAGTCCTGCCATAGGGAGAGCCACACAAGCACACCAGAATGAGCATCCCTGATGGCTGCTTTCCACAAACACATCCCAGGCAGGTTTCCAGCAGCCTACAAGGCTTCCAGGTTTGTGTCCACCCTTTATCCCTGTTTGCAACCCCTGGTTTTAGGCCCTTTCTGCAAAGCAAACCCTCATCCCGAGTCAATGCAGAGATCCAATCAGTGACCCAGTACTTCTAATGGAGTACTTGGAGCAATTTCTTCACCAGATGAGATCAAACCTGATTAATGAGAAACAAAAAGGCAGCCGCTTTCCTCAGTTCCTCTGCTGTGGAAGACGGCTGGGTCTATGGATGTGGAAGGCTGGCTGTGCCCTCCAGTGGCAGGGAGAGCCTCCAGCAGCACTCAGCCACACACTCGACTCCCCTGGCTAAGAGCCACTTGCTCCTGTATAACTCTCCAGTGACTGGTTTTCAAAGGACTCGTGGTGAACTGCTTGGGGTTTGGTTTTTGTTTTCCTGCAGGAATCGCACTCATCTCTGTATTCCATAGGATCCCAGCCTGGTTTGGGTTGGAAGGGACCTTAAAGCTCATCCAGCTCCAACCCCTGCCACGGGCAGGGACCCCTTCCACTGGAGCAGCTTGCTCCAAGCCCCTGTGTCCAACCTGGCCTTGAGCACTGCCAGGGATGGGGCAGCCACAGCTTCTCTGGGCACCCTGTGCCAGCGCCTCAGCACCCTCACAGGGAAGAGCTTCTGCCTAAGAGCTCAGCTCAGTCTAGAAATACCCGAGTG